GAAGGGTTGTATCTCAGCTTGTCAGTCACTCTGACATTGCCTAGAAAGAATAAGAGGAACAGAAATGCTTTGGAGGTGCAACTTCTCTATCAATCCTGAGAGCCATTCCATGGACTCTGCACCCCTGTTTCTGAGGACAGGTGTACATTATCCTCATCCTCAGTGGAAAAGACAATAAAGATGGCAGCCTGAGAGAGAGGAAAAGGTTTCTGGCTGCTTCCTGGGTGGGATTGCGGAAACCAAGAGCCGCTTCTAAGAAGGCCTCCCCCCTCCCCTCTGGATTTCCTCTCCTCTCCAGGGGGACCAATGGTTGGACTGGGCAGAAGTGCTGAGTCTGGACAGGGCAGGGGCTTATGGGGTGGAAGGAGGATGGAGGCTGCAGGAAGGAAGGGTGGGGGGACAGGACCCCCACTTTCCAGGGATCCTTCTCTGGTCGCCTTGAAGGGGGGGGCATTCCTGGGCGGGAGGGAGAAGCCAAGGCGGCCCCTCCGGAGAGTCCCCAAGGAAGCCACGAGGGAGACGCCCCCCCCCCAGACTGGTCTTCCTATCCCCCCCCCGCCAATGCTGCGCTTCCCTGCCTCGGGGATGCCCCCCTCCCTTCTCCCCCCACTTCCATAACCCCCTCACTTTCTCCCGGACTCTCCCCTACACCCAAAGGCTTCCTTGGCACCACTCACCCCTCCCCATGCGCGACCCATCTCTCCATCCTAGGGCCCCCCCCCAACAGGAGCAAGGGAGGGACTAGGGGGTCTCTATCCAGGCGTCTCTCGCGCCCCTTAACCCTTTCATGGGGCGCGCGGAGCCTGGGAAACGGGGTGAGGGGTCCGCCCTGCGAGGAAAGCTCCCTTCGCAGCACGCGTGGCGGGATCCAGGCCCCACCGAAGGCGCTCGGGGGAGCTGGCGGGGGTCTCTGGGTCCTCTTTCCCCCTCCTTCTCCCCCCCTCGAGCCCTTTACCTCTTTCTCCTCGCTCCCGATTCTCCTTTCCTGCAACATCCACGAGGGGGGTCCCCTGCCTTCTCTCTTCCCTTTTCGAAAGCGCCCCCCCCCCAGCTACGGGGCAGAGCAGCAATCCGGAGTGGAAGCTCCACTTCCGGGAGAAGCAGGCAGGGTGGGAGGGGGCTCCCCCCCCCCCCGCGCACATTCCCGGAACAGAAGCCGGATTGGAGGAGGAGGAGGAAGGGGTGGGATGTTTGGGGGCGGGATCTGGGCTTGTGGGGGCGGGGTGAGAGGAGGATGTGCCGGGAGGGGAGGGAAAGAATTGAGGGGGGGAGAGGAAGGTTTCCCCCCTCCCCTTATCCTTCTGGGATCAGGAGAGCGGGGGAGGGGCTGATCCCGGAGATCCAGCTGCAAAGTGGGTCCCGTCCCTCCTACAAGATTTGCATTGCAACATCCTCCCCCACCTGGAAACTCCCCTTTGTCTCCTGGAAAGTACTCATGGGGAGGGGGGAAAGGAGGAACCAGCCAGGTGACAGGACACTCAGGTTTCCACCACAACTCCTCCCTCAACCCCTCCTTTCTGTGATGTTTGTATGATGTTTCTGGGGGTGGTCTTGACCTACAGGGTGGCAATTTCAAAAGTCTTTGTAAGCCCTTGGACAGCATTTTTCTGGGTCCCTCCTCTCTCCTGCAAGTGAGGGGAGCACCCTGTTGGGACAGTTCAATAAAGGCCAAGCCTACAGGCTGCTGTTTTGCTGCAAGTTATCCTGGTTGGTGTCTTTGTTTTTGGCCAAGGGAGCCCTCGGATTTTTCCGTTAACAGACACAGGCCCCGTCCCTGCACAACAGCCAAGAGGCTCAGAAAAGCAGCCGATACAATTGTAGCCAGAAGCGGATTCCAAAATCTGAGGGATCCCTTGGACCAGAAACAAGGAGACCAGCCAGGAAGAGGAGAGCAGAAGAGCAGCCAGTCGGCTTGGTCTTGATTGAAGACTGTCTCCACAGGACTCCCACCTGCCCCCAGGTGGAACAAGATGGAAGCCCCCAACAAAAGAAGACCCCAACTTTTATTAGCTGCTAATCCCCCAAGCTACACCCCCTAGACTACATCATGACTACATCATTGACACATCACACAGAGGAGGGGTTCAGGGAGAAGAAGAAGAGGAGTTTGGATTTGATATCCTGCTTTATCACTACCCAAAGGAGTCTCAAAGCGGCTAACATTCTCCTTTCCCTTCCTCCCTAGAATCATAGAATCATAGAGTTGGAATAGACCACAAGGGCCATCGAGTCCAACCCCCTGCCAAGCAGGAAACACCATCAGAGCACTCCTGACATATGGTTGTCAAGCCTCTGCTTAAAGACCTCCAAAGAAGGAGACTCCACCACACTCCTTGGCAGCAAATTCCACTGTCGAACAGCTCTTACTGTCAGGAAGTTCTTCCGAATGTTTAGGTGGAATCTTCTTTCTTGTAGTTTGAATCCATTGCTCCGTGTCCGCTTCTCTGGAGCAGCAGAAAACAACCTTTCTCCCTCCTCTATGTGACATCCTTTTATATATTTGAACATGGCTATCATGTCACCCCTTAACCTCCTCTTCTCCAGGCTAAACATGCCCAGCTCCCTTAGCCGTTCCTCATAAGGCATCGTTTCCAGACCTTTGACCATTTTGGTTGCCCTCCTCTGGACACGTTCCAGTTTGTCAGTGTCCTTCTTGAACTGTGGTGCCCAGAACTGGACACAGTACTCCAGGTGAGGTCTGACCAGAGCAGAATACAGTGGCACTATTACTTCCCTTGATCTAGATGCTATACTCCTATTGATGAGGCCCAGAATTGCATTGCCTGTTACAGGAAGATCCGAGGGCTCTCTTGGACAAATGAAGACACCGACCAGGGCAAATCAGAGCAAAACAGCAGCCAGTAGGCTTGGTCTTTATTTAGGTAAAGACTGTCGCGACAGGGCTCCCACCATCCATGTGGTGAAGCAAGATGGAAGCCCCGAACAATGGGAGACCCCAACTTTTATTAACCACTAATCCCCTTGACTACACCCCCAGAATTACATCATATTTACATCATGATTTTATTAAGGAACAGGAGGAGTCGAGGAGGAGCTACCCAGGTAATCTGAGTATCTTGACACCTGGCAGAGACCTCCTCTCCCCCCTCACATGAGTCATTTCCAGGAACAAAGGAAAGGGCGAAGTCTTCCTGCCCCCTGAGGGGAATCCGGTCAGGGTCCTTTGTTGGAGTCTGTATGGAATACACTATCGTATGCAGTTTATTGTGTTTCTGATAGCATTTCGTCTGGGCCCATCACGATGGTTATCAAGGTTGCCCCGCCATCCGGAGAGGGGCCGTTGTGTACGTGACTGCGTGGTTCGAGGATTATGGCCGATCAATCCCAATTCACCCCCCTTTGATAGTCCTTGTAATATGCAGTGTAATAAAAGTGGTCCGGTGAAAATCCATGGTACGGCTGATTTTTGGTGAATTTGTAAAGAATACAGTCACTGAAGTTCAAAGTACTTTCCCTTTTAGGAAGCAACTTGCAACATTTTGATTAGATCAGTCACGGTCAATTGAACTCGGAAACAATGAATTGAGAACTGTCAAAAGGTGAGGGAGCCGGCGCTCGCAGCCTGCAGTACCAGCGTGGCCGCCACAAGGGGCGCTGTTCGATAATGCTGATTGGTTGAGGCGGCTGCTGTTTGACCTAGAGTTCGGTCGTCCGGTCTACTCTCAATAAGGATAGGGCGGCGCGGAGCGCTAGAGCAGAGAGCTGTCAAACCAGCGCTTCCTTATTTACGGAAGGCTTTTAAGAGATGGCCCTCTAAAGGAACATCTCTAGGGTCAGGAAGGGGAGATACGTGTATGTGTGGATGCGATGCTTGTGCAGTACGTGTTACTGAGAAAAGGGGGGGTGATTTCCGGCGACATCCCCCACAACAAACACTCTGTGGGGTGAGTGGGGCTGAGAGACTTCAGAGAAGTGTGACTTCTCTGAAGGAGGAGGAGTTGTGGTGGTAACCTGAGGGTCTTCTCACCTGTCCGGTTCCTCCTTTCCCTTCCCTATGATTACATTCCTGAGGACAAAGGGGAGTTCACTGTTTCCTGTCCCCAGAGGGAAGGGCTGGTCACTGTCCTGTGTTTCAGTCCGTACTGAATCCACTTCCATATGCAGGTCCTTTGTGAGTGGAATGATCTTCTGTCCAGGACCATCAAGGTTGGCATGCCAACTGGGTAGGGCTCGCTGCGGACAGGTTGGCTGCCTTGTGTCAGGTCTCCCCCCTTTGTTAGTCCTTCCCTCATGGTGTAAAATAAACGTTGATCCGATGTACGGCTGATTTTGTATGAATTTATTACAGAAGTGTTGCATATATCGTGTGTGTGTGTGTGTGTGTGGTGTTTGTACAAACTGAATGATTTGGGGGGGGGGTTCCTGCAACACAAAATCCCAATCCCAAAGAAGGGCAGTGCCAAAGAATGTGCCAATTACCGCACAATTGCGCTCATTTCACACGCTAGCAAGGTTATGCTTAAAATGCTAGAAGGAAGGCTCAAGCAGTATGTGGATCGAGAACTCCCAGAAGTGCAAGCTGGATTTCGAAGGGGCAGAGGAACCAGAGACCAAATTGCAAACATGCGCTGGATCATGGAGAAAGCTAGAGAGTTCCAGAAAGACATCTACTTCTGCTTCATTGACTATGCAAAAGCCTTTGACTGTGTCGACCACAGCAAACTATGGCAAGTTCTTAAAGAAATGGGAGTGCCTGATCACCTCATCTGTCTCCTGAGAAATCTCTATGTGGGACAAGAAGCTACAGTTAGAACTGGATATGGAACAACTGATTGGTTCAACATTGGGAAAGGAGTTTGACAAGGCTGTATATTGTCTCCCTGCTTATTTAACGTAGATACAGAATTTGTCATGCGAAAGGCTGGGCTGGATGAATCATGTAATAAAAAATTTAAGGTCTTATATATACAATATACCATACAGCAAAGAATGGGAACTAAGGCTTCTGCTATCACTAAAGCCCTTTCCACACTCGATACATTTAAATGGTTTCTCCCCTGTGTGAGTCCGTTGATGGTTCCTAAGGCTTCCATTTTCACTAAAGCTCTTTCCACATTCGATACATTTAAATGGTTTCTCCCCTGTGTGAGTCCGTTCATGTCTTCTAAGGCTTCCACTATTATTAAAGTTCTTTCCACACTCCATACATTCATATGGTTTCTCCCCTGTGTGAGTCCGTTTGTGCAATTTAAGGTTTCCACTCTGACTGAAGTTCTTCCCACACTCCCTGCACTTAAAAGATTTTCTCTCTGTGTGAGTCCTCTGGTGTATGCATTGAAAGAGAAGCTCTTGCATTGAAAGAGAAGCTCTTTCCGCACTCCATACCCTTAAATGGGTTCTTTCCTTTTTGTGTTCGTTGATGTGAACTATGTGTCCTCGTTCAGTGAAGCATATTCCACATTTCACACATTTAATGGCTATTCCTAATGAAACGAAAGGTGCCCTGTCCCCCGCAATTCTGTCTTCTCCATCACCTTTTTCAGAGTGGGCAGAAAGGAAATCCTGTTTGGGTTTCAGGAAAGAGAACACAGGGGGGAAAGAGCACACATCAACCGCCATTAGCACCTTCTCTTATTTCAACATCTCCTACATTCTCCCATGTCCTCCCCATGTTCCCAATTTTTAGGAAATGAAAATGGTATGATGTCAAATGGTGGTAATGCATCAGGAACCTTTCATAATCCTCAATCATCTTTAATAGCACAGCATGATTTCTGACATTGAATTATATATAAATTACAGTATTGAAATGCGCCTGCTCCCACTTCCTATTCTGATATTACTCTACTCTGTTTGTCTGTTTCTTACTTGAGTGCTGTTTTGGAATGCTAAGTCAGGGTTTTACTGTGAGTTACATTTTTCCTATTTTTTGGATCCTGTTATGCTTATCTGTCTTCAGTAATAAATTTCTCAGCTGAATTATTTTTTTCTGCCTCTGAGTGTTTTCTCCTACTCTGCTATCTATACATCAATCATTATGGAGGAGCAAGATCTGCAACCCAAAGCCCTCAACAGCCTCGGCCTGTGGACCTGAAGGAGCATCTTCACCCCCATCGCTCAGTCCGGACAGGGAGGTCCGCCTCCGAGGGTCTTCTGCTGGTTCCCTTGCAGTTAGAAGTGAAGTTCCAGGGAACCAGGCAGAGGGCCTCCTGCCCTATGGAATGCCCTCACTTCCGAGGGCAAGGAGGTAGGCAACCATCTGACATTTAGAAAACAGCTGTATCAGGAGGTTTTTAATGTTTGATGTTTTACTGTCTTGTATATGTACTGTACTGTCGGGAAGGTAAACAGCCTTTCCGTGCGCTGCTCTGGTTCGCCAGAAGCAGCTTAGTCATGCTGGCCACATGACCCGGAAGCTGTACGCCGGTTCCCTCAGCCAATAAAGTGAGATGAGCACCGTAACCCCAGAGTCAGCCATGACTGGACCTAATGGTCAGGGGTCCCTTTACATTTACCTATATGTACTCATTATACATTATCTCATTATACCTGACTAAGCCATTTCTCACCTTCTCACCCCTTGCCTTTTCCTGTCGTTAAGAGTCGTCAACAGGCTCATCAGGCTCATCTCAGCTATCTGCCAATCTCCGATTCCCACCACCCTTCTGAGTAATACCCCTCCCCACCTTCTCTATATATAGAAGGATCTGGCAACTTCTGTTTCAGTGTATCTGAAGAAGTGTGCATGCACACGAAAGCTTATACCAAGAACTAACTTAGTTGGTCTTTAAGGTGCTACAGGAAGGAATTTTTTTAATTTTTTTATTTTGACTATATGTACTGTAAGCTGCCCAGAGTGGCTGGGTGAAAAGACGAATACTATAACTTTTACAGTGGTACTTCGTGTTACAGACGCTTCAGGTTACAGACTCTGCTAACCCAGAAATAGTACCTTCTGTTAAGAACTTTGCTTCAGGATGAGAACAGAAATCGCACGGCGGCAGGAGGAGGCCCCATTAGCTAAAGTGGTGCTTCAGGTCAAGAACAGTTTCAGGTTAAGAACGGACCTGCAGAACAAATTCAGTTCTTAACCCGAAGGACCACTGTACTATTATTATTATCATCATGTGATTTTTTGTAGTTAATTTGGAATTTGTACTGCAATATTAGCTCACGAAATGTTATGGGTGGAGAAAATCACAGGGTTGCCGTAAACTATAATCCCACCCACAAACTCTCATTCACATACAGTCTGTAAATTTGGGGAGGTCACACACCTCACCTGTGCAGTCTTTGGCCTCCACAGGCACACCCGGTGTGTAGAGCCTCCAGCCCCAGGCACTGTCTATCATGAAAATGGGTCCTTTGACTGGGAAGATTCCTGCAGTCGCTGTCATCGGATGATGATGGGTTGTATCCCAGCTTGTCAGTCACTCTGACATTGCCTAGAAAGAATAAGAGGAACAGAAATGCTTTTTACGGAAATGACTTGCAGAATCCGAGACCAGGGAGAAGAGTTGATGGAAGAAGATTGGAAAAAGTTTAAAGACTATCTACAGAAATATTTCAAAATTAATGAATGCTAGAATGATGTTGGATAGAAACTAAGTGGTCTTTAGCTGTAATGTTATAAGGGAATATGAAAAAATGGATTATTAATCGGTAAAAATTTAATGTTACAATACTTTATGATTAAAGACTAGGATATACAAAGAGGGGAGGGATTTGCTGAACTAATAATACGAACCGGAATACAAAAAAGGGAGGCGTGAGGAGGTCCGGGAAACAAGCAAATGAAAGATAATTAATGGAAAGAATGAATTGTTTTTAACCATTTTTATTTTGTATTTTTCTTTTTTCTTTTTCTTTATTCTGTAATATTCTGAAAATCTTAATAAATATCTTTTTTAAAAAAGAAAAGAAATGCTTTTGAGGTGCAACTTCTATATCAATCCTGAGAGCCATTCCGTGGACTCTGCACCCCTGTTTCTGATGACAGGTGTACATTATCCTCACCCTCAGTGGAAAAGACAATAAAGATGGAAGCCTGAGAGAGAGGAAAAGGTTTCTGGCTGCTTCCTGGGTGGGATTGCAGAAACCAAGAGCCGCTTCTGAGAAGGCCTCCCCCTCCCCCTTCCTCTCGGGATTTCCTCTCCTCTCCAGGGGACCAATGGCTGGACTGGGCAGGGCAGGGACTTATGGGGTGGGAAGAGGATGGAGATTGCAGGATGGAAGGGTGGGGGGCAGGACCCCCACTTTTCAGGGATCCCTGGGCGGGAGGGAGAAGCCAAGGCGGCCCCTTCGAAGATTGCCCAAGGAAGCCACGATTGAGATGCCCCCCCAAAAAACTGGTCTTCCTATCCCCCCCCAGTGCTCCTCTTCCCTTCCCCCCTCCCTCTCTCTCGCAGTTTCCCCTGCACTCTAGCGCGCCGCCCTGCGCGCCCCATCTCTCCATCCTAGGGCCCCCCCGAACAGGAGCAAGGGAGGGACTGGGGGGTCTCTATCCAGGCGTCTCTCGCGCCCCTTAACCCTTTCATGGGACGCGCGGAGCCTGGGAAACGGGTGAGGGGTCCGCCCTGCGAGGAAAGCTCCCTTCGCAGCACGCATGCCGGGATCGAGGCCCCACGGAAGGCGCTTGGGGGAGCTGGAGGGGTCTCTGGGTCCTTTTCTCCCCCTCCTACCCCCGCGAGCCCTTTACCTCTTTCTCCTCGCTCCCGATCCTCCTTTCCTTTCCTGCAACATCCACGTTGGGCGGGGATCCTCCTCTGCCCGTCCTCCTCCCCTTTCCGAAAGCGCCCCCCTAGAGCTACGGGGCAGAGCAGCAATCCGGAGTGGAAGCTCCACTTCCGGGAGAAGCAGGCAGGGTGGGAGGGGGCTCACCCCCCCCATTCCTGGGACAGAAGGGCCGGATTGGAGGAGGAGGAGGAAGGGGTGGGATGTTTGGGGGCGGGATCTGGGCTTGTGGGGGCGGGGTGAGAGGAGGATGTGCCGGGAGGGGAGGGAAAGAATTGAGGGGGGGAGAGGAAGGTTCCCCCCTCCCCTTATCCTTCTGGGATCAGGAGAGCGGGGGAGGGGCTGATCCCGGAGATCCAGCTGCAAAGTGGGTCCCGTCCCGCCTACAAGGTTTGCATTGCAACATCCTCCCCTCCCCCACCTGGAAACTCCCCTTTGACTCCTGGAGGTGACTCATGGGGAGGGGGAAAGGGGGAGCCAGCCAGGTGACAAGATACTCAGGTTACCACCAACTCCTCCCTCAACCCCTCCTTTCTGTGATGTTTGTATGATGTTTCTGGGGGTGGTCTTGATCTACAGGGTGGCAATTTCAAAAGTCTTTATAAGGCCTTGCACAGCATTTTTCTGGGTCCTTTCTCTCTCCTGCGAGTGAGGGGAACACCCTGTTGCAACAGTTCAATAAAGGCTGTTACCGGAAAATCCGAGGGTCCTCTTGGGCAAATGAAGACACCGACTAGAGCAATCAGAGCAAAACAGCAGCCAGTAGGCTCGGTCTTTATTAAAGAAAAAACTGTCGCGACAGGACTCCCACCGCCCACAAGGTGAAGCAAGATGGAAGCCCCGAACAAAGGGAGACCCTCACTTTTATTAGTTGCTAATCCCCTAAGTTACACCCTCAGAATTACATCATATTTACATCATGACTATATTAGAGATAGGAGGAGTCGGGGAGGGGTTCTACAGGTAATCTGAGTGTCCTGACACCTGGGCCGAAACCTCCTCCCTCCTCCCTGCATGAGTCATACACGAAAACAAAGGAGAAAGACGAAGTTTCCTGCCCCCTGAGGGGAATCCGGCCACAGTTCCTTTGTGAAAGTCCGTGCGGAATACACTAAAGTATGCAGTCCATTGTATCCTTGATAGCCTTATGTCTGAACCCATCACGATGGCTATCAAGGTTGTCACGTATACCTGGAGGAAAGGCAGGGTACGTGACTGCTCGGTCAAAGGATTATGGCCGCTTGGTATCAGGCCACCCCCCTTTGATAGTTTTTGTAATATCCAGCAGAATAAAAGTGGTCCGGTGAAAATCCGAAGTACGGCTGATTTTTAGTGAATTTATAAAGAATATTGTCCTTGAAATTCAAAGCACTTTCGCCTTCAGGAAGTGGCTTGCTACATTTTTATTAGATCAGTCACGGTCAATTTAACTCGGAAACTTTGTATTGAGAGCTGTCAAAGGTAAGGGAAAAGAGCGGCAGTAGCCTGCAGTACCAGCGTGGCCGCCGCAAGGGGCGCTGTTCGATAACACTGATTGGCTGAGGCAGCCGCCGATTGACAGCAGATCTCGGTCGGCCGGTCTACTCGCAATAAAGATAGGACTATGCGGAGCGCTATAGCGGGAAGCTGTCAAGCCAGCGCTTCCTTATTTACGGAAGGCTTTTAAGGGATGGCCCTCTAAAGGGACACATCTGGGCTAAGGAAGGAAGATGCGTGTATGTGTGAGTGTGGTGCTTGTGCAAACACGTGTTAGTGTGTGTGGGGGGGGGGGGCGATTTCCGGCGACAAGGCCAAGCCTACAGGCTGCTGTTTTGCTCCAAGTTATCCTGGTTGGTGTCTTTGTTTTTGGCCAAGGGAGCACTCAGTTTTTGCCGTTAACAGACACAGGCACCGTCCCTGCACAACAGCCAAGAGGCTCAGAAAAGCAGCCGATACAATTGTAGCAAGAAGCAGATTCCATGTCTTAAGGGAGAAATCTGAGGGATCCCTTGGACAAGAAACAAGGAGACCAGCCAGGAAGAGCAGAGCAAAAGAGCAACCAGTCGTCTTGGTCTTGATTGAAGACTGTCGCCACAGGACTCCCACCTGCCCCCAGGTGGAACAAGATGGAAGCCCCCAACAAAAGAAGACCCCAACTTTTATTAGCTCCGAATCCCCCATGCTACACCCCCAAGACTACATCATGATTACATAATTGACACATCACAAAGAGGAGGGGTTCAGGGAGAAGAAAAAGAAGAGTTTGGATTTGGTAGCCCGCTTTATCACTACCCGAAGGAGTCTCAAAGCGGGTCACATTCTCCTTCCCCTTCCTCCCCCACAACAAACACTCTGTGAGGTGAGTGGGGCTGAGAGACCGCAGAGAAGTGTGACTTCTCTGAAGGAGGAGGAGTTATGGTGGTAACCTGAGGGTCTTCTCACCTGTCCGGTTCCTCCTTTCCCCTCCCCATGATTACATTCCTGAGGACAAAGAGGAGTTCACTGTTTCCTGTCCCCAGAGGGAAGGGCTGGTCACTGTCCTGTGTTTCAGTCCGTGCTGAATCCACTTCCATATGCAGGTCCTTTGTGAGTGGAATGATCTTCTGTCTAGGACCATCAAGGTTGGCATGCCAACTGGGTAGGGCTCACGGCGGACAGGTTGGCTGCCTTGTGTCAAGTCTCCCCCCTTTGATAGTCCTTCCCTCATGGTGTAAAATAAAAGTTGAACCGTGCAGATCCGATGTATGGCTAATTTTGTATGAATTTATAACAGAAGTGTTGTGTATGTCATGTGTGTGTGTTGTGTTTGTACAAACCGAATGAGGGGTGTGTGTGGTTCCTGCCACACATGAATCCCAATCCCAAAGAAGGGCAGTGCCAAAGAATGCTCCAGCTACCGCACAATTGCACTCATTTCACACGCTAGCAAGGTTATGCTTAAAATGCTACAAGGCAGGCTTAAGCAGTACAGTGGTGCCTCGCAAGACGAAATTAATTCGTTGCGCAAGTTTTTTCTTCTTGCGAGTTTTTCGTCTTGCGATGCACGGTTTCCCATAAGAATGCACTGAAAATCAATTAATGCGTTCCTATGGAAACCGCCTTCAGACCAGGTCCGGGGACAGTCTGTCCCCCGACCTCTTCTGAAGGCTGGGGGGGGGGGACAAGGGCTTTTCTTCCCACCCCCAGCATTTTAAAAAAACCCGGGACAGCGGAGGACTTCTCTGCTGTCCGGGGCGATGTAAAAGCCCCTGGGAAGGCAGGCAGGGGGGAGCAAAGACTTTCGCCCCCCGCCCGCCTTCAGAAGAGGTCCTGGACCTCTTCTGAAGGTGGGTGGGGGGCGAAAGTCTTTGCCCCCCCGCCTGCCTTCAAAAGCCGTCCGGGAAGGCAGGCAGGGGGGAGCAAAGAGTTTCGCCCCCCGCCAGCCTTCAGAAGAGGTCCTGGACCTCTTCTGAAGGCGGGTGGGGGGCGAAAGTCTTTGCTCCCCCCCGCCTGCCTTCAAAAGCCGTCCGCGATAGCAGGAAGCTCTTCCCTGCTATCCCGGACTGCTTTTAAAATTCTGGCGGTGGGGAACAAAGCCTTTTGGCCCCCGCCGGCCTTCCTGGACCTCTTCTGAAGGCCAGAGGGGGGGGAAGGCTTTGCTCCCCACCACCAGCATTTAAAAGAGGTCCCCGGAGATTTCCCTATGGGCTTTCGTCTTGCGAAGCAAGCCCATAGGGAAATTCGTCTTGCGAAG